CAGGGTAAAAGGGGGCTAACAAAGTATCAGAGAAACAGATGGACTACAGTCTGTAACTATAGAACTATAAACAAGGAGTGGTCATAATGTTATGCCTGATCGGTGTGTGTGTATATATATATATATATATATATATATATATATATATATATATATATATATATATATATATACACAAAATCAGTCTCTCTTTTCTCTATGGTGTGTTACTATGCATTTGATGTGTATGTAAAAGGTGAATTCCACCAATTTTTCCACATTTCTGTATAACTCAGTGGTTGATGTGTAAACAGAGTCATTCAGAGTGGTTTGATGTGAAGTGGTTGATTGTAGAGGAACGTACAGACTCAGATCTCTTTACAGTGGTGCTGATAGGAACTAGAGATGTCTACGACACAAATACAGCCGTTTTATTCTCTACCCAAAACTAGTTTAATATGTATGATAAAACAGTAGTAAATCTAAAAAGGTTTTTGGGGGACTGTTTTGCCTCAGAACACACTGCATGTAGCTCTCCACCATGAACGGATTGGAAAAAATATACTTTAGGCCAAAACTTTATCACAAAACTGATGTATAACAACGTCTCAGGCATCAGGCTGAGCTATTCTTTACTATTGTATGTAATAACTTTCTGTGAGGGAACTTTTAGAGGCAATAAACTTTTCAGACGTCTGGTTCCTATCAGCACCACTGTGAACAAATCTCATTTAGGAAGTTTCTTGAGAGTTAAGTGTTTCACATCAAACCACTCTAAATGACTTTGTTTACGTCTCAGTGATTTAATTACTCAGAAATTTTGATAAATAAGCACTGCGAAACTGATGTTTGTAATAACAGCTCAGAAAACTGACAACAAAAACTGCCAAGCTTGAGTCAGTCGAGGGGGTCTTCCCTTCAACCACCTCCATAACCTAATTTCTGTTTTATTTTTTGTGCATTAATCCGATGAAATCACTGATTTGAGAGTATGTCGATCTACGTAATCCTGTGAAACATTCTGGCATTTTGATTGGCTGTTTCATGAAACTTTAAGTTGAGACGCTTGCAACTCTTATTATTTTTATGCAACTCATGTGCAATTTAGTTTCATCATGTAAAGCCAGTCAGGGTTGATAGCCAAGAAGCTGCAGGGCCAAACACACAACCCAAGGACCCAGGGTGCGCCCGCCACTGAGGAGCGGACTACTCAGTGGCACTTGTGCTGACTGGGACACCCGCACTGTGTGGGTCACTGGAACAGCTGACCTTTGAGGGGGGGTTATGTGGCATCCACCATGGGCCTTGCTGCCGTGGCCATGCAAAGAGGCTCTCGGGAGGTGCACACTCCTGGAATACATAAGGTACTGTTCCTGCTGCTGCTGTTGTTGTTGTTGTAGTTCAGTTGTGTTGTTTGTGTTATTTTGTGTTGAGCTGTGGGTGAGATAGTGGATTTTGTGTGTCTAGGTTTTTGTATATATATTGAAGTGCTTGAGTTCATTAAAAAAAATTAGTGCATGCAAAGGAGCATAAAGCAGTCGACTCGGTGATTTTTATTAACAATAAGGAAAGCATAAAAAACATATTTACATCAAGTATACTTACAAAAGATACTACAGTCATAGCATCACCTACACTGATTTGATGGGTTTGTGTGATGAACTGAGTGTATGTACAACAATAAACTGTCCATCTTTTCGTACAGTTTGGATACATATTCACAGCATATTCACATTATTTACATTGACTTTATGCTCATGTTCTTTCTAGCCTGCTGCATCCCTGAATGAATGGAAATGTAACCTTGTTGACTGGTAATTATTTTCCAGTCATATTTATTGATATCTTCCTTTTTGGGGGCCAACTTGTTCATACTGTAAACTGTTGACAGAAGAATGATAGAGGAGAAAATTAATGTTAAAGGCTGGAAATTATTACTACAGACAAAAGGGATGTGTGTTTTTTCTTACGGACTCCAGCTCTGTTTAGAATATGTGGTGCTGTTCATCCACAGTCTCTATCTGGAGAAGGCTAGCGGCACTTAAAGGGCCCATATCAAGGATTTTTCCACTTTTTAGACATAAAGGATTTGGCTCTGTATTTAAACACATTTTGAAACTGTGCCATTCACTCCATTTACAGTCCCTATATGGAAAACAACCTGTTTCGATTTCATTGTTTTTGTGATGTCACATTTACACAGATCCGCCATGTTTGGCCTACAGCAGTTTAAAAATAGATGCCGTTTACGGTCGAATGATGTTTCCTTGACTTTAACACATCTTCTACTTAAATATCGTCGCTGTCGAAAGAAAAACAAGTATCTCCAAAATAGTAACTTTACAGGAAAAGGCAAAAAACTGTCTTAACTTTTAGTGTAAGTTAATGTAAAGAGATTTTATTTCGATTGATTTTGGGGCATTTCTATTGGTCCAATCGTCATGAAATGTTCACACGATGTCGAGGAGAACGGCTGTGTTCAAATAACAATTGACAAAAATGGAGAAACATGTTTTTCTTTCAACAAATAAACAGTAAGTGTGCATTAAAATGTGCAGTGTGTTCTCAGTAGAGGACGTGTTAATGTGTTTTTACTTAGAACATCAGCAAAACATGCCAGCAGACCAGGGGCGCCAAAACTTTTTGCAAATGACTTCACATATATCAGTCTTAAGGCGCAGTAACAAAAACAGCCTGTTTAACTCTATGGGAAAATAAGAGGTTGGAAAATGCCAAGTATAAATGAATTATGGTACATAAATGAACACAAATGATCTTAAAAAATAAAATAATAATAATAAAAAAAATAATAATAATAATAATGATGCTAGAAAAATGTAGGATATGGGCCCTTTAAGCTTCCATAGACACTCAAAACGACCACATAATTCCACATGTAACATCAAGAAAATAAACATTTGAATGTAAATGACCATCCATTAATTTCATTAACTTTATATCTGACCAATACTGGACATGACCACTCTGGGTCCTTGCAGAAACCTGATTGGCTCACATTGCAAGCCTTATTGTAAGTGTAAATGTAAGTGATCGATATCTGTTGTTAGTGTAAACACACCTCTGCTCTGTTTGTCCTGTATTTGCCTCATTCAAAAAGCAGTCCAGTCTAAAACAGTCCTTATAACATCAAGGTGAATGGGCGGGGCTGAACTGCCGTAGGAGGAATGGTCAGACATATGTAGATGTGTTGTGACTTCACAAAAACAGTGAATCCAAAATGGCCTGTTTTTTGCAAATTAGTTTCCAATGTGGTGAACATGTTTTGAAACTTTAACAGTGTTTACGTCACATGTTTACTTTCTCGGGTTTCAGTCACTTTTCTGTTGTAGCCGCTATATCTGGGACCGAATTTCTGGCTTCGCTGCTCATCATGAACGTAACTAGAGGAGAAAGACGTCTAAAATTACTCTCCTTACTTTGGAAGAGGAAAAAACGTTCCTCGACAAAGTTGATAAAATAGTCTGAGATCCTTATACAGTTTCCCCTGAACTCCTGATCCCACTTAAACTGGAGGAAACCTACCAAATTAGTGTTTTTCTGGAGAGTCTCTTACAGCATTTAAAAGCACAGAAGCCCACCGGCTCTTCATGTCAGGGTGGGTAAAGGATCCCATGGTGTTCATAAAGAGAAGAAAAGCTCTGTAATCATAGGAGGGTAACGACATCAGCTAATTAACACAGATGAGATCAATGCTGGCCTTTAGATAACTTTAGCTGATGTTAACAGCCGAGAGATGAACAGTCGCCCCCTAACGGAGCTGCAGACAGCCGGTATAACTTTACTCTCTGTTTCTGATTTAAATGAGGTTTGAATGGAGAAACATAAGCGTTAAATATCAGACTGAATGTCGTGGGTCTGAAAACGACGTCGTGTTTCGACAGACATGATTCTGTAAGTTTACTGGTTCAGTTAGTTCAGAGTTCAGCTCCAGTCCTGAAACCCCTGCACTGCATAACTGTGGTTTCCTGGTTAAAATACCTGATATTATTAGCTGATTAATCCCTTCTTGAGCTGAACGAGGTGAGAACAGCAGAGAAACACTAAACTGTACAGTGCAGCGGCTCCAAGCCTGGAGTGAAAACACTGAATTAAAGGTCTGTGTGTCTCTCGGCTTCTGTGGTGTCTTACAGGTGAATCGTTCACAAAGTACAGCTAATTGAAGGCATCGTGCAGCGCAGTCACTCCCTGATTCGGCCCTCAACATGGCGGCGACTATACAGCGTGACGTCACGCAAGACATAAGAATATCAGTGAAGTACTGATGATATTCACAAAACACTCCTAGAAGAATATTGTGATGTGCTGTGATATAATTTATCTCCACTCATCAGCAGATTTACACAGACATAACACAAATGTGATCAGTGTTCGAGACCTCCATAATCACCATCAAGCCCATATTAGGAACTCTGAGTCCAAGCTGGTGGAATAGAAGGTGAGGATGTGGATTTATAGGGCATTAGATTGGAAGAAGGAGGGGTTTCAGGCATGTTCCTCCCCTCAAACTTCACTTATAACACAACTACATTAGGAGACGTCCTTTCATGCAAATTATGCAATTAAGAGGATCCAGTGACGAAATGTATCAGGTTCGTTTACCACAGGTTGCGATGGCACCATTTGAACGCTATTCATTTTCCCCATAGAGAAAACCAGCTCAGACCTGGAGCTCCTAATATGGGCATGACGGCGACTACAGAATGATGCACAACCTAAGGAGCAGAAGAGGAGCTGATTGGTACGACAATGACGTAGGTGACAAGCGTTCCAAACTGCCTTGAGCACAGTGGTCCAAAAAATATCAAAATGCTCAAGATTGTCTCACTCGTTTCTACCATCACCACTACCGAAAGACGTGGCGTGTAAAAATATCGTATCTGACGAGCGCTAAGACTAGTACGAGTGTATCCTGGACACGGCTTGTAGACTAATGCACCCCATTTTGGTGAGGAATTAAAGTGCAACGATTGCTTGACCGTCCAGCCACGTGGCTGCACCCCTCAGAGCACCATGGTGGCTATGTGGTGCACCAGCGGGACCGGCTGAGCCATGGAGGCCATGCTGGTCATCTGTGGAGGCGGAGGCGAAGGCTGGTTGGCGTCAGGGTTAGCCGGCCGGTGCCTGGCGCTCTTCTGGTGCGCCCGCAGCCCCGCCAGCTGCGAGTATGCGCTCTGGCAGACGTGGCACTTGTAGGGGCGCTCGCCTGTGTGCAGGCGCACGTGGTTGCGCAGTGTGGACGACTGGCTGAAGCGGCGGTTGCAGAAGCGGCACACGAAGGGCTTGTCCAGCGTGTGGATGCGCATGTGTGAGCGCAGGTTGCTGCGCGAGTTGAAGCCGCGGTGGCAGATGACGCAGCGCATCCGGCTGGCCGCAGAGGAGGAGGACGAGGAGGAGGAGGAGGCAGGAGGGGAGGAAGAGGAGGCACTGTCACATGAGTGGGAGTCATCTGGGAGCAGAAAGAAAAGACGTAAAGTCAGTGATATATGGAGCAGAGGTGAGGGTCACTGCTGAATATTTAATGAGGGGGCAGGGGGGACATGGGCTGTCCCCTTTTTTGAAATAATACAAGATAATTTGGGGGGTTGTGGGACGGTTGATATACAGAGCTGAGTTGCAAAAGAGCTGTCAGATATTAATTATCATCATACAGCTGTTAATTACAGTTTAAAACTCCAATTAAGGCCAAAACAGATGTTGGTTTGCTTAGTTATCGTCAGTCAGGGCAAAAAGAAAGAAGCTCAAATCTGTTTTGGAATCGTTTTAAATACTTCTTTACTGTACTATGATTATTTGTTGACTTGTGCCATAACAGCTATTAGTCTGTTCTATTTCTTCTTTCACTCTATTTAGCATTATTGATGTATTTTGCAAAATATTTACACCAACTTGCAGACTTAGAAAGCCAAATTATCTCTCTATACTGGCAGATAATATTGCTTGTGTCAAGCTTATTTCTTACAACAAGCAAAAACGTCAGTTCTTAGCAATTACAGACCAATCTCTAATCTCTAATCTTCTGTTTTTAGGTAAAATAATTGAAAAACTAGTCTTTTACGGCTTAACGACCTCTAAAATGAACACAATATCCATGAAAAATTCCCGTCTGGCTTCAGAGCAAATCACAGTGTGATGCACAGAATGATCTGAGAATAAACGTTGATGCGGTTGATGTTTCAGTGCTTCTGCTTCTGGATTTAACTGCTGCATTTGATACTAGAGACCACAGAATACTTCTAAATCCACTTGAGAACTTGGTTGGCCTTTCTGGAACAGTATTAAACTGGGTCTCTACACATTTAACTGGAAGACGGTACTTTGTAAGCATGGTAAACATGTCTCAGATAAGCTTGATGTTCTCTGTGGTGTACCACAAGGCTCTGTACTGGGTCCACTTCTGTTTTCTTTGTATATGCTGCCACTTGATGGGATTATTAAGAAGCATGACATCAATTTTCATAGTTATGCAGATGATACACAACTGTGTATAACTGTAGCTCCAGACAATGTCAGTACAGTAGACAAGCTGGTGATATGTCTCTCCAGCATTGTCAGCTGGATGAACAGCAATTTTCTAAAACTTAATGCTGACAAGGCAGAAATAATTATAATTGGTAGTGAAGCAAGGAGGGAAAAGGGGTGTGGAAGACTTGAAAATCTGGCTCTACAAATAAAAACTGAAGTTAGAAATCTTGGTGTAACTCTAGACTCTGATTTACGGAGACCTGCTGGTAACATCCCATATAACTAAAAGTAATGCGTGGCCACATCTTATTAACGCATGGGAACGAGATCCTAATGCCTGGCCATGACTTAGTAAGGCATGGGAATGAGATAATTAAGTCGTGGCCATGACTAAGTAAGGCATGGGAACGAGATCATGCCTAACTTAGTTGTGGCCAAGCATTAGGATCTCGTTCCCATGCCTTACTAAGTTGTGGCCGCACATTATTTTTATTTATACAGGGGGGATCCATACTGATTTAAATTTTAATCCATATTAATAATCATAACCTAAACTTTTTTTATCATTTAAGTAATGTAGCACGAGTTCATCCTTTTCTCTGTCTGCAAGATGCTCAGAAATCGGTCCGTGATTTTGGGTTTTCTCGACTTGTCTACTGTAATGCTTTGCTCATAGGACTCCCTGCAGGTACAACCAACAAACTGCAGCAGCAAGAATATTAACACAGACTAGACAAGGATCATATTAGAGCAGTTTCAGCTTCACTGCACTGGCTGCCTGTCTCTTTTAGAATCAGCTGTAAAATTTTACTACTGGTTTTTAAACCTCTTAATGGTTTAGCAGCTTCATACATTTCTGAGTGCTGATAGATGAAGTTGTAAATCATGTTTTAAGAGCATCTAGTTCTGGGATACACTACCAATAAACACCCGTCTGCTCCTTCTGTCAGTGTTTATAACAATAAGATAAGCACATTTCTTTACTTTAGCGTTTAACTAGTTTTTTCCTTGTTTTTACTGGAATATTACTTTTTTACATTCCTGTTAGTTGTATTTTTGTTGTATTTTTATCTTGTGCATTTTAATGTTAGTTATTATTACTATATCCCCTTTTCTGCTATTGCTTTTACTGGTTGCATTTTTATTATTTGTTTATTTTGTTTTTGATTATCTTTTTTTCTCTTCTTTCACTGTTTTTACTTTGTATTGTGAAACACTTTCAGCTGCATTTTTAATGGATGAAATTATTATTACGTTTTATATATACATATATATATATATATATATATATATATATATATATATATATATATATATATATATATACATATATATATATATATATATATATATATATATACACATATATGTTGCTGTCGGAAGTAAACCTCATATCTCCATTTTTGTCACCTTTCAGTTTTTGACATAATTTTAAAATACCTGTTGCTTTTTACATTGTGTGTAAATTTCATGATGAATGGACAAAAAGAAACGGCCCAGAATTACTTGGAAAAGACGTCTGGTTCCATTGACTAACATTAAAAGTAAACTATGTTTTTTCCTTCTCCTGTAAAGTTACCGTTTTGGAAATAAAAAACAATATACATATATAATTTTTAATTAAAAAAAATAATTTAATAATTCCAGAATGCGAAATATCAGATATACCAACTAGATTTAAGTTTATTTCACTTACTATCAAGTCTCTTGTTTAAAGTAAAAGTAAAAACTTGAGGCCAAAATTCCCTTTAGATGTTTAACCCAAGTCCCCACTGGTCTTTATTTCTGTTATTTGATTATAACTTTTCTGATTGATAGAAATAAATAAATGACAACTTCAGTTTTGAAAGTCAATAATTAATAAAGGAGTAAATAAAATAATAAATAGAAATATAAAGATATAAACTGTATCAGAGAGCGTCCCAACACTGCTCTTCAACACGTCTCTGACTGTTGGAGGAGCACAGTAAATGAAAATGCAGTGTCTTCTACCACCACTAGAGGGTGCACTTGCACAGAGATGTGTGAGATAAGAATGTCTGTCAACGAAAGCCCAAAAGCACAGAGTAATTAAGTGATTAATGGGCACTGAAAGAAGGCTAATGAGTGTAATTCCTCAAACGTCCCTGACTATTATCAGCTCAGCGCTCGCACTAATGCTGGTGAGAAGACACAAACACTCTCTTCCTCACACACAGCACACACTCGCCAACCCTCTACTGCACACATTGTGACAGCAATTAGAAAAATATTCAATTCACTTTTTTTGCATGAAATGTTTTTTTCGGACCTGTTTATCAAATTAATAAACATAAAAATTAGTAGTAATAATGTGTGCAGGGGTCTGTTTTGAGTGTATTGCCTTGAAGCAACATTGTGCGACAATGGGAAGAAATGATATCGAGCCGTATTCCCTGAAGTGGTGAGACCTGGCTGGTGACTGACTAAATCCATTCCATCACACAATGTTGCTTCTAGGCAACAAGTATATTTCTGCAAATTCTCAAAAAAATTGATACTGAACGTTTAAAAAGAGGTTTAAATGTGCCCGCTAAGAGACAGTATGACCAAGCACATGCTTTTTATTGACTTACTCAAACTCTTCTCTTTGTTGTTAACCCTATTATTGTCTTTAAATATGCGTAATGTTATTGTAAAGTGAGGAAAATGAGTTTGTTGCCCTGAGGCAACATCATGCAGTAGAGGGTTAATCACTGTATCAGCTTCACTCCATTCAGTTACTCATTTCCCTTCAGTCAGTGAGAGTCAGCACGTCATTGCTGAAGTGCAGTTAATGTCTATATTAACATATTTTCAGTTCAGACGACCATCTGTTCATTTAATTTCAAGTCAAAACGGCTCTTAAGAACACATAATTCATTTATCAGGACTGTTTAGGACCACTTGGAAAACGCGACCAACTTCTAGGACTGAACTTTGGAGATGTGGAAAAATATCTCTGCAGATTTCATTGATGAACTGACAGTGAGTGTCCTGAAAAGAATGGACGCTGTAATAAGGCAAAGAGTGGACACACTGAACACTGAAAAATGTTCTGATGCTGAAAAATAATCTGTACTTAATGGTCATTTTGGCTGGACGTTAAGTAAATGAAGGGCGGTCTTTGACTTTTACACAGTGCTGTAGGTCAAACAGCTCCCTCTGGTTCATTTTGTGAGCGCACTCACCATTTCTGCTCTTTTTCTGAAGCTCGTCCTCTGTGCCAGGAACGCCGGGAATACCCAGGAAAGTGTTGTGGGAATTTCCGTACCAGACGAGCAGCTCCTGGTCCGGAGGAATGGTCTGCGAAAAAAGACGAACGGTCCAAATGAATAAATAACCGGGTCAAATGTTTAAATGTAGTCCGTGAGGACGTTTGATTTGGCCCACCAGAAAGTCCCTCGACCCCTCCCCCTCCTACCCCAACAAGAGGACATATTTTATGCTATATATGATTCATTCAATTCTATATTTTAGGAATTTTAGAAGGAAATTATAATGTAGTGTAGCAAAAGTTTTCATTTCATTAAAAACGTTAACTGGTGAGGAACAGGGCCGCCCAAAGTGAGGGCATTTCATTTGGTCAGAAAGTTACCCAAAGCCCACCAACTCACCAACACTGCAAGAAAAAGGCATCTCGTCACGTGAAATGATCTTAAATCCAGTCGATATATCTAATATTTCCCATTTTGAGATGAGTGTGCACTTATTATATTATCTGGCAGATAATTTTGCTGGTTTTAAGCTCATTTCTTAAAACAAGCAAAATTATCTGCCAATATAGTGAGATAATTTTACTTCATAAAATTACCTAAAACAAGTAAACAATGTCTCGAAATAAGATATATAATCTCAAATTATGCATTCATCAATCTCAACAAGAGAAATATTAGATTCATCAGCTTTATTTAAGATAATTTTACCCCACAAGACACCATTTTTTGCAGTGAATAAAAGAACAAACGTATTTGTATACTATATATAACTGAGTCATTTCTGTATTTTTGAAGTATTTTAGAAAAACATACATAAAAATTATTTCAATAATGAAATCCACTTTTGAAAAATTTAACCTTCCAGATGTCTTTATTTTGGCCCCAAGACTAAAAAATTGGGCACTCCTGATCTAGAAACCTCTTCCACGCCTTAACAAACCATGGACCTGCCAGTGGCCCCCTAGTTTTATTACACATGTCTATAACCTATGAATAGCTCCATTCGTTTGAACAGAAGTCCCTGTAGTTACTGAGTAATAAGCCTTATGAAATAAACCTGAAATGTTAAGAGGGTTAAACATTAAAAATGCTCTACAGTCTTCTTCTTTCAGTCCACTGAAAGGTTCTTCGGAGAACCAAGAGTGGTTCTTCGATGGTTTTGCTCCAAAAACCTTATTTTTAAGGTATGTTTTTTACGTTTATTTAACTTCATCTGAAGAAATCAGATGAAATCAGGCAAGACGGCCCAGAGCTGAAGTTGTTGAGGGCAGTCCTCCAACGTGAAAATGGAGTGCGTTGCCATATATTTCAAAATCACCTTGTTCTGAGTTTATTAGAAATACCTACTTTGTGCCTACATGCGCTGGCCTTTTTATCGGAAACACCTACCCACCATACCAATGTGCTTCACTCTACAGCAGACACATTCATACTACCACACCTGATCCACACATACGACCATGTCAGTGTCACTGCTGTGCTGAGGGTGGTCTGCCACCCAGGCAACGGTCAGCGGTGGTCCTGTGGTGGTGGAGCGTCTGGTGAATTGTGCCGTAACAGATGGTAACAAGTATCTACAAACCTCAGTGCTCCTATTTGGTGTTTCTGATAAAATGGCCAGTATCTGTCGTCTCTAATAAAGTGGTAACTCTGAGCGTTTGACCGAGTCTGACCTCCACGGCCTTGTAGAAGATGCTGCTGCCGATTTGCACCACCTCCAGGTTCTGCTCCTGCTCGTTGCGTGCACACTTGATGTAGGTCATCCAGCTGCGCTGGTCCTCCTGGCTGGCGTCGACGAAGCAGCGGACGGTTCCGTCCTCGTTGAACACCTGGACACAGAGGAGGAGCATCACAGTCAACGACACAAGCAGTTAGTCTCTAAAGAGCTGATTATTGTGCATTATGGGTAACGCCTCACAACCACTGCATGACACTGTACACTAACATCAGAGCATCTTCAGCTCCAGACTGCAGCGTCACTGACATTCAACCTAAAAAAGGCCGAAAGCAGTTTAACTGTCTTTAATTAATCAGGTTAATTTATTGATTATAAAGATCTAAAGTGAAATAACAGCTCAGATGAACGAGAGCAATATTTTTATCAATACAAATCTCAGATAATCTTCAGACTCCGACTGTTTCTGCTCTTTATAATGTAAAATCTACTTCATTCACTACATGAACCCGCCTTGTGGGTTTATAACACACCTGCATATGTATTTATTTATCATTATTTCATTCTTTGAGATTTTTTTTTTTTGTATACTTCAGGTTATTATTTTTCTCCTATACTTTATTTTATTTTATATTATTGTTTTTTTGTCCCATATTTTTTTTATTTTGTTTTGTTCTATATTTTATTTTATATTATTTTTGTCCCATATTTTACTTCATTTTATTTTATTATATTCTGTCATTTTTAATTTTATATTCTTTAATAAATAAAATAAATACCTAAAAAATAAATACTATAAAGTATTTTATTTATATAAAATGTATGTATTTTTTTGACCTATATTTTTTTGTAAATTACTGTTTTTAATTTTATATTTTATTTCATATTACTGTTATTTCTGTTATTACTGTTTATAATTTATTTTACTTTATGTTCTTGTTTTTTTCTTATCCTTTATTTTTTAGTTTATATTGTTGTGACTGCTGCGTTCTGTATGTCTTTGTACTTGTATTTTCTATTTGAACAGACCATCAGTCTCCTCAGTGTGAAGTATAAGTGCGTATATGACAATATATTACATCTCAGAATCATTTCAATATTTTACCACCATATAAGTGCTTATGGATCTTATTGTAATGTATAATAGCTGTGTTGTTTTCCACATGTACACTTTTAAAAATAACACTTTCTTAAATGGCGCTTGGCTTAGACAAAAACTTTAACTGGTACAGAACCTTTATGTTATGTACAGCTTCTTTAAACTGGTTCTTTAAGGAACCTTTAACTGAAGGAGTCCTTCAGGGAGCTGAAAGTGGTTCTTCTGAGTCGTCGCTCTAAACATCCCTGCTCACCGTCTTATTGTTAAGACTGTAACTGTCTGAATTTCCTGTAAAGCTCCTCTTTAAAAAGAAACTGCACTGGAACATCTACAAGACTCCAGACTGGACTGTGACTGACCGTCTCTGTGAGTTTATGGACGTTTGCTGTAGTTTCTCACCTCCCACATCAGGTTATTGTTCTTCAGCAGGTCGACGTGTTCGGGGGAGACCAGGCGGCCGGTGAAGGGGCCCATCTCGGTGCCTGCTTTAATCCACGCTTTGGAGAAAATGCCCAGGCCTTCTCCAGGAACGGAGCTCTGAGCGATGATCACCTCACTGGGCAGCACCAAGCTGGACAACTTCTGCACTTCTGCAAGAGGTAAAACACAACAAACATGAAAACATAAATGTGGGGTTTTATAAGTTAAAATATTTCACACATGATGCACGATTCATGAAAAGCTCTGTGCATCGTGACGTGTTATAATAATTACTTTATATTTGACTGTTATAGCTTTTTTATCGCTGCTGTCAGAACAAAATCTGGTATCTCCAAAATGGTAACTTTACAGGAGAAGAAAAAACCTACTTCACTTTTAATGAAGGTCAATGGAACCAGAGTTTTTTCCAAGTCATTTTGGGTCGTTTCTTCTGGTCCATTCATCATGAAATTTACACACAAATGTAAAGGATAACAGGTATTTTCAAATTATGTCAAAAACTGAAAAATGACAAAAATGGAGTTATGAGGTTTTGTTTTGACAGCACTGGTATGCTCTCTCTCTCTCTCTCTCTCTCTCTCTCGATATATATATATATATATATATATATATATATATATATATATATATATATACAAAACTTCATATCTCCATTTTTGATGATTTTCAGTTTTTGACATTTTCTCTGGTTCCATTGATTTACATTATGTTTTTTCCTTCTCCTGTAAAGTTACCATTTTGAAGATACAAGGTTTTGTTCCAACAGCAGCGTATAATATATATATTGTATATTATAAAGGTAGCAATATAGAATTGATATTTTTATATTTTATATAAATATTTGTATTTATTTATATATGACTAATCTCTTTTTATACTGTATATATATATATATATATATATATATGAGTGTGTTACAAAAATTATACAACAAAAAACAATATTTTGATATTTCTTTTAAGTGTGAAGCTCTACAGTGACACATATCATGGAAAAAAATCATGTATTTTTTTTTCTATTGTTTTCCAATATGTATCTTATCTTCCTTAAAAACGTATATATTCCTGAATTTTCACACAATGTAAAATTGTCAAATGTAGAATGTATAAGTGCTCAAATGACTGTGCTAAACTAAGATCATTTGAGATTTAACTCCTGTTTGGAGAAGATAAGATTTTAAAATAACTCAGGAAAAGAGAAAATTGGATTTTTTTTTTATTAGCATTTAAAAGTCTTCCTTTACATTCATATCCACAGCCGTATTAAAGTAGCCTACGATAACAGTTAAACGGTCATTGTGAACCGGTGCACGATACGAAACAACAGTTTTGCAGACGGTGTAAATTAAACTCGCTCATTTTAATGCCGCTCACGAAATATTACATCCAAGCTAATTTAGCCATGCTTAATTCAATTAACCGCTCAAAATGGGCTTGAATGTTTGGCTCCCCAGAAAGCTTCACACAAACTCACTCAGATTCGTTCAAGAGCTTAAGGAATGACACTTGCCTTTCTTGAATGTCACAACCAAAGCATTCGGGGTTTTTCAGCATTATTGCTATTACTATTATCATTATTCGTGACGACGAATGAGACCCGAGAGAGGTTAAACGGTCCTCCATTAATCGGCGTCCAGCAATTTGTTCTGCTTCCCAAAGATATTCATTACTCTCCGCTGGAAAGGGAGCGGCTAATTCCAAATTCATTATCCTTTTTAAGGACTTTGTAGCAATAAATTTGCTCTGAATGAAACGGGAGCTTGTTTAAAGGACCCGGGAATTTCACAAGAAAACACTACAAAAAAAAGAGAAAGAAAGACAGAAAAGAAAAGAAAGAAAATGGCAAGGCGATTAGCTGGCTGCCACGGTGTGAATGGCAGTAGCATTAGCCTTCATGGTGCATTAGGGGAGGAACAGCGAGCTTTTCAGGCCACAGAAAGAGAGAAAAAGGCCCCCGAGCTGCCAAAAGAGGAAAAGAGACTGTCCAGAGATGGATGAATACGAGATAAAAAATGGGGGAAAAAAAGCAAGGGACATCTCAAAGAAAATGTGGGTGTTGGCTGGGGACGGTGGGGGATTGGAAGAGGGGGGTGGGGGGACTCTTATTTTTTTTTTCTTAGCCTCAGTTTAAGTGGAAACTTTTCTCAGGTCAAGCACAAAGTTAACCAAATGAATTTAATGCCCTTCTTTCTTTAGTCAGCAGCAGTTACACGCCTAACAGGCCTGGAAATGGAGGGGGTCAGAGCGCTAAACGGGTTAAAGGAGCTCAATGGAGGGGAAAGAAAAGGGACAAAGTGGGAAAATAGTGGAGAACAGTAATGCTCAGACGCACAGAGAGCTTGGGAAGAAAGTGAGGACGGTTCCCATCCAGATATCTGATATAATAGCCACGTTGTCGGACGAAAACCTTGTATCTCCATTTTTGTCGTTTTTCAGTTTTTGACATAATTTGAAAACTCCTGTTACCCTTTATATTGTGTGTGAATTTCATGATGAATGGACTAAAAGAAACGACCCAAAATGACTTGGAAAGATGTCTGGTTCCATTGACTTCCATTAAAAGTAGAGTAGGTTTTTTCCTTCTCCTGTAAAGTTACCATTTTGGAGATACGAGGTTTTGTTCCAACAACAGCGATATGCACTTATATCATAAAGGGTCAGCATATATTTTAAAATATACAGTCATATAAGTTGTGCACATTTATGCGAGTATAAAATATTGGACATATATTCATATATATGGATCGTACATATATACCTGATAGGTGGGTGAACACATGCATATACATCTGATACATGGTTAATTACATCCCAGTGCAGGTATAATTGGTACTATGTTACACACTTGCATTCAAATATTAAATAATTTTAAAATGTCAGGCAATCATATTTTCATTTGTTTCATTTTAAATAATTTTATTGCATAGTTTAGTTTAGTTTTGCAGCTCTTGCACCAATTGTCACTCCATTAGGACGTCTGTGTATAAACACCTCATTATATAACATGAATCTGGTACATATGAGTAATATATGCCACCCATATATGAATGTTGTGTATCATATAATTATATATAGGTGAATATATATGTTACACATGTTTATATATATTGATACATGGCTGAAACACATTTCCCATTTTTGAAAATGACTCATTTCAAATACATTGGCATACACACACACACACACACACACACACACACACACGTCCATATGTGACTAATACAAGCTGGACACAAGGGAAATCCCTATTTGCTAATATATGTCATATCTATGATATGCATATATTGCAATATATCATATTTGCGTGTGTGTTGGGGTGTAAATAAAGTCCTCACTCTCTTCTGACAGGAGTAGGTCAGACCTCACTGAGCCACTTCTGTGTAAAATAAGCAAAGCAGTGTCTTTGTTCAAGCTCACTGTGGTGGATCAGAACAGATAACCTACACTTTTACTAGGCTGAATTACTTTTTTTGTTGGAACAAAACTTCGTATCTCCAAAATTGTAACTTTACAGGAGAAGGAAAAAAGATACTTGACTTTTAATGGAAGTCAATGGAACCAGAAATTTTTCCAAGTCATTTTGGGACGTTTCTTTTAGTCCATTCATCATGAAATTTACACACAGTGTAAAGAACAACAGGCATTTTTAAATTATGTCAAAAACTGAAAAATGACAAAAATGGACATTGAGGTTTTGTTCTGACAGCAGTGATATACTCATACTCTATATGTTCATTAATAAACATATTTATAGCCTATTTTTGGATGTAATTTCATACAAATGTCTAACATTTACAGTGAGACGTTCCTTTTTCACATTTTAATTCACATTTAATATCTTGTGTCATATTTCTACATTTTAAATTCAACTAGTTTAAATGCAATACAGTGCAAGATATAGAACTATAGAACATCCACTTTCTGTCAGTTCACTTAAAATGCATTATGAACCAGAAATATGGGCTGTAAACAGATAAAGATACAGGATGAAAATGAATAAAAATAGAAATGACAATAAAAACAGTTAAAGCTGTGGGACAGCAGATGAACGATGTGAAAAGAAGTAGGAAGAAATGACTAGAAATGGACATAGATGATTGATGTGATGACAACAGAAATAGAAACGTACCAGAAATAAGTCTAGATGTGGGATAAGAATGCAAATAGAAAGTCAACCCTCTGTTGCACAGTGTTGCCATATGGCAACAATTATTTATTTCAATTTTATTAAAAAGCAGTGATATAAAATCTCTATTTTCCTGTTTAATTGTGGAAAAAGGGTCTTTTACTTTGAAAGGACAAATACTTTATGACATCATTATGACATGTTCAGGAATTCTTATTATGATGTTTTTATTACCATACATTCCAAATACCAACTGAAATTGTATTAATTTCCAATATTTGTAAATATTGGGTTGCACATTTAACTCAGTATAAGTTGGATTTTTGGACTTGTTTTCAATAAAAGGATGTTTTTTAGAGAAAAATTAGATTTTTTTTTTTTTAGATATTATGGTGCTACTTAAATACCACACTTAAATTTTTTTTTTTTTTAAATATTTCCATTATTTAAGCAATTTTACATAACATAAACAAATTAAAACACATTTTTGTCAAGTTGAAGTAATAATTCATGCACTATTGGGTTAAATAGATCTAAACATGATCTGAAGAAATAGAAAAAGTTAAGAGAAATTGATCTAGAAATAGATCAAACTTAATAGAAATGGACCATAGAAACAGAGAGATAGATGTGAATATGGAAAGCCAATAGAAATGCAGTAGTAATAGATGTAGATATGGGATGAGAAAAGAAGAGAAAGTTAAAGAAAGACACAGAAACGTGAGAATAGAAGTAAAAAGTTAACAGAAGTAGATCTGGATGTGCAACAGCAACAAACTGATCAACAGAAATAGTTTAAAGGAGCAGAAATAGATGTGAAGCAGCATCGGGTGCATTTGTAGCTCCAGCCTACCTCCAGCGAAGGACTGTGCGAGGACCTCGGCCGTGAAGGCGGTCTTGGGGCTGACGCTGTGGTGGTGCTGGTGGTGCTGCTTCTCCTCTGCTGGGTGCTCCCCCAGCACGTTCCTCCAGCGTCCGTACAGAAAGCTGTGCAGGATGTCGGAGGTGATGATGTCGCAGAGGGAGTGGGTCTGAGGCTTGAACCCGGGCTTCATCATGAAGTCCGCCGGCAGCACCGAGCCCATGGCAGAGGCTTGTGAAAGAGAGAGGAAGGGGAGGTAGAGAAGGGGGCAGCCCTGCTCCTCGTGGAGGAGAGTGAGTGTCCCGCTCTGAGGCCGGGGGTGCGCTTATATTTGGCTGGGTTCAGCCCCCTCGCTAATGAGTTATTAATGGCACAGCCCTCCCTCCTCAGAGTTGTTTCCCTTTGAAAGAGAAACCCTCTGTGGAGCAGACAGCCCCCTCTGGAAGCCCACAAACAGGGCGAGCGAGTATGTGAGTGAGTGGAGAGAGAGAGAGAGAGAGAGAGAAGGGGGGGAGAGAGAAGTGGGGGAGAGAGAGGCGGAGAGAAGGAGGGAGAGCAGCTCAACAGTTGAATCTCTCTCTCCTTCTCTCTCTCAAAAGGTAACACGTTAAAAAGGCAGTTTATTCTAAAGTGTAAACAACATATATTGTGTAAAAGTATTAATAACAATATATTTCAAGAAAATAAAGGTTGTAAACTATATAAAAAAAATGTTTTTGCTCTGTTTGCACTCATTTGTAGCAGCAATAAAAGGTCTAGATTTTGTCTTTATCAATAAATAAAGCTATATTTTTAATGTATCTCATATTAGTAAAAATATTCATTATCATTTTTATTATTTTAATCAATTAAATGCACAATTTAAAGGGTTTCCCATCAAGTTTGTGTGTTTTTTACAGATTTTTTTGAAAAATGGTGTATTTTTTTTGTTTATCCTGACCTCAGCACTCCGTACAGACGTGTAACTGCCTGGTATCTGTACTGCTTTGGCTGAAGAAGCTTTACTGCATTGTTCTGCTGCTCCTTTATGTTCCTACGAGGGGATTCATATTCATAGGGGTCTGTATGAAGCCCTCACGTTGTGTCAGTGCCCAGTTTGCTGCGTATGCATTCAGCTTTTCTTCTCCGCAGTGATTCCCTCCATCTCTCCTGCGCTGCTGGGCTGTTTCTGAGCGCTCCGGCGGGGTGAACATCTTTATTTTGTTCTATTCAAAGCCCCAGCGGCGCGGTGCGGAGCAGAAAGTGGTGCAAAATCAATCCTGCACGCTGTTCCTGAGGACGGACTGACAGCCCTGCGCTGGCATGTGAATGACCAGGAGAAGAGTGGACGGCGGAGAGGAGTGAAAGTGAGTCATTTAGTCAAGCTGTGCGGTGATCTGTTGCTTTTTTATAGCAGCACATAGAAGTTTATGTTTAAGTTAAGTGTAAATGTTTATAATAATGCATACATGTTCTGTTAATAATAAGAATAATGACTGAAAAGCAGATTCCCCTGATGCTTTAGCTTCAGCTCATATAGAATAATTAAATTATTTGTTAGTTGAGCTGAAAGAAAACAAAAATGCAATAATGATTATCTGATAATATTAGTATTATAACAAATTGAAACACTGTTGTGCAATATGTATATATATATTGGATCGGAACAAAACCTTATATCTCCATTTTTATCATTTTTCAGTTTTTGACGTAATTTGAAAGTATTCATAGTCCTATATATTGAATCTAAATTTCATGATGAATGGACTAAAAGAAACGGCCCAAAATGACTTGGAAAAAAGTCTGGTTCCATTGACTTACATTAAAAGTAAAGTATGTTTTTTCCTTCTCCTGTAAAGTTACTGTTTTGGAGATACGAAGATTTCTTCCGACAACAGCGATATATATATATATATATATATATATATATATATATATATATATATATATATATATATATAAAGGGATCTACTGTTGTTATAAGCTGGACATCGTCACAATAGTAGAACTCTTTTTGGTGCTACATAGAATCCTTTTCAAAAGGAACTTTTGGTAACACTTTCTATGAATGTCACCTTTGTAAGCATCTATAAACACATTCATAACATGTTATAATGCATTCATAAGACATTATAAACATAGCTATAAATATTTATAAAAATGCATTATACATTATAGCCATGTTTATTATGCATTATGAATTGTTAACATAATGTATTATAAGTACTGATCATAACAAATTATAAGAACTCATAAGTGGTATTTGTCCGCTCTAAGTAAAGTGAAGCGTACTGTACTAAAGCCTCCTCCAGTGTTCAGAGTGAGGCTTCAAGTTGAAGTATTTACTGAAGGATTTACTGAAACACTAAAACATTCACAGTAAAGCACATTACAGGCTTCAAATGTCAGAGTTTAAACTAGAGCTGCCATCAGTGTTTTACCCAATGTGGGAAAGGTAATGTACACCACCGTTAGCTTGGTATTTGTTTTTACGCTCTCCAAGCTGGGACTGACTTCTTTGGCACTGACAGTATAACATGTTAACGTGACATTCATAGAAAGTGTTACTGAATGTTTTTTCTAAAAGGTTCTGAATAGATCCATACACAGCTGGTTCTATATAGAACCTTTTTTAAAAGGGTTCTATATGGCAACAAAAAGAGTTCTGCTGTAGTTACAAGCTAGACATCATCACAAAGGTAGAACCATTTTTGGTGCTATATAGAACCAAACACAGCACCTTCTCCATCAGTCTGAAGAACCATTTCACCATGCACAGAACTATATAGAACCATTTTCTTTACTAAAGAACTCTTGCAGAACCATCTTTTTAAGAGTGCATTTTACCATGTAAAGAACGATTTAAGCATGCAGATGGTTCATAGTGTTCATAGTTCCATGTAGAACCATTAGGCCTCATTCGCCAAACGTTCTTAAGAAGAAATTTCTTCTTAGAATCCACTTACGCAGTTTTTTACGAAGATTCTGACATTCAGCTGTTTTCTTACTTGGGGTTTGTTCTTAGATAAGAACAGAATCTACACACTGAAGAGCACAAAGGTGAGAACAGTTCTGCGCTTTAAGAACACGAAAAAACTTACGACAATGTGTGTGGGTGTGTGTGTGTGCGTCTGTCTGTGTGTGTGCGTCTGTCTGTGTGTGTGTGTGTGTGTTTGTGTGTGTGTGTGTGTCTGTGTGTGTGTGTGTGTCTGTGTGTGTGTGTCTGTGCATGTGTGTGTTTGTGTGTGTGTGCGTGTCTGTGTGTGTGTGAGTGTGTGTCTGTCTGTGTGCGTCTGTCTGTGTGTGTGTCTGTGTGTGTGTCTGTGTGTGTGTGTGTGTGTGTTTGTGTGTGTGTGTGTGTCTGTGTGTGTGTGTGTGTCTGTGTGTGTGTGTGTCTGTGCATGTGTGTGTGTGTGTGTGTGTGGGTGTGTGTGTGTGTGTGAGTGTGTGTCTGTCTGTGTGCGTCTGTCTGTGTGTCTGTCTGTGTGTGTGTCTGTGTGTGTCTGTCTGTGTGTCTGTGTGTGTGTGTCTGTGTGTGTGTCTGTGTGTGTGTGTGTGGGTGTGTGTGTGTGTGTGTGTGTGTGTGTGTCTGTCTGTGTGTGTCTGTCTGTGTGTGTGTCTGTGTGTGTGTGTGTGTGTCTGTGTGTGTCTGTCTGTGTGTCTGTGTGTGTGTGTCTGTGTGTGTGTCTGCGTGTGTGTGTGTGTGTGTGTGTGTGTCTGTCTGTGTGCGTCTGTCTGTGTGTGTGTCTGTGTGTGTGTGTGTGTCTGTGTGTGTCTGTCTGTGTGTCTGTGTGTGTGTGTCTGTGTGTGTGTCTGCGTGTGTGTCTGTGTGTGTGTGTCTGTGTGTGTGTCTGTGTGTGTGTGTGTGTGTGTGTGTGTCTGTCTGTGTGCGTCTGTCTGTGTGTCTGTGCATGTGTGTGTGTGTGTGTTTGTGAGTGTGTGTGTGTCTGTGTGTCTGTGTGTGTGTCTGTCTGTGTGTCTGTGTGTGTGTCTGTGTGTGTGTGTGTGTGTCTGTGTGAGTGTTGAGTGATGCTGAGGTCTGGACTCTGGGGTGGTCAGTCCATCGTTCAGCTTCTTTGTTTGATGTGTCCGTCTCCTTTTCTCAGTGAGGTTCTTCTTGATCAGCTACACCTCCTTTCAGACCCACAGCGCTGAGTCGTCTTCTCACAGTGGAAGGATGGACAGAAACACCTGTGGGTGTTTTCAGATCTGAAGCAGCTTGATTTTCTCCTCTCTCTCAGAGATGAAAGCTTTAAGTGCTGTTTATCTGATGGGGGCAGTTTTGGTGTCGACCAGCTCTTCCAGGTGGTTGTTAGGAGCCCCATTTTCTCCACTTCGAGTACTTTTTTGAACTGCAGTTTTGAAAACTCCTATTTTGTTTCCCTTTTTTCTCCATCCTTATGTAAGTGGATTATCTTATACCTGATCTATTTAGACATTTCTCCTTATAGGATGAACAGCTTGTACTCAAAGTCTGTATAATTTGAATTATTGTTATTATTATTTCTGCGTGCAGCAGCAGAGATGACCCTCTGTGCTTGGGGGACGCTTCTTTTTGTGCCATTAAAGCGAGCTGAAGGTGGATGTCTCAGCATGGAGGATGGGCTTAAATCCGCAGGAAAGGTGAGTACGGCTCCATAACACCTGCTTAACTCCACGGGACACCGGCCCAAGGGGCGGGGGCGGGGGCAGGGGGGGGGGTGCACTTCAAACACTGCTTATTTTTCACAATCAAAAAACAAATTACATAGAAACTGGATACCGTTTATGTGCACCCTTAAAAAAGATGGTTCTTCAAGGGTTCTTTAGTAAAGACAGTGGTTCTATATAGAACCATGAACACTCAAAGAACACGCACACATAAATGGTTCTTTGCATGATGAAATGGTTCTTCAGACTGATGAATAATAATATATATGTTGTATATTTTTGAAAATGCTTCGATTATAGAACCAAAAAAAGGGTTCTGCTGTTGTTATGATGCCAAGCTTGTAACAATAGTAGAACCCTTTTTATGCTACATAGAACCCTTTTCACAAAGAACCCTTTTCTTGGTGAAATTGTTCTTCAGATTGATGGATAATAATAATATGTTGTATATTTTTGAAAATGCTTCGCTTATAGAACCAAAAAGGGTTCTGATGTTGTTATGATGTCAAGCTTGTAACAATAGCAGAACCCTTTTTGGTGTCTTAAAAAAGACAGTTCCGCAAAGGTTCTTTAGTAAACAACATGGTTCTATAT